TCTGTTGCCCTGCTACGAGTGAAGTGCTCGTGCAGTCAGCCTCGCTCACAGCAACCTCAACTCCTGGGCTAGAGCAATCTGCTGCTCAGCCTCCCAGAGTAGCTGGGACTCTCGCTCTTGCTCAGGCTGGTTTCGAACTCCTGACCTTGAGCGATCCTCCCGCCTCGGCCTCCCAGAGTGCTAGGATTACAGGTGTGAGCCACTGCGCCTGGCCCCAGCTCTGATTTTTAACTAGCTCTGTAAACCCTGGACAAGTTACTTCATTCTCCCAAGCCCCACTTTTCTGGTAAATGTACAAGAAGCACTAATGGGGCAGTGGTATAGACAGTAGTGAAGGGACTCTGGCTCAGCCTGCCTGGGTTTGAATCAGTGTGGTGGTGGTGAACCAGCTCTCCAAAAAGAAAACGTCCTGATTTGGTAGCGTTTGCCAATTTCTGTGATAGATTCTATTGCCCCCATGACTGATTCCCAGCTACCTGTCCTTTTTAACAATCAGCTCACAAAACTCCTGAGTGTTTAACAATTGGTTTTCAGCATGGCCTGCTCCAGGTAGGGGAATCTAGGTCTTTCACTACCAGGAGAGGTCACCCAGGGGTCATAGTCTCTCCACGCCTCAGTTTCCAGTTATGTAAACTGGGGGGTGATTATGTATTTCAAGGGTTGTGCTGAAGATGACATGAGATTAGGCGTGCAGGGTGTTTATTAGTCCCTGCCCATACCATGGGAAGGATTTAGCAGGTGTTACTCACCACTGTGAGTATGGCTTTGCTGGGTGGGGGACAGGCACCACAGGGACGTGTAGGAGGGCTTGGGGGCTCCTTCCAAGGTCCACTCAATCTCACTGTAATAGGCCACTACTGCACTCCAGTGCTATGGCAAGGTACAGAGTGAAAGAAACCTTACACACCATGAAGCGCAATCCAGTTATTTTTTGTTGTTGTTTTATTGAGACAGTCTCACTCTGTTGCCCAGGCTAGAGTGAGTGCCGTGGCGTCAGCCTAGCTCACAGCAACCTCAAACTCCTGGGCTCAAGCGATCCTCCTGCCTCAGCCTCCCGAGTAGCTGGGACTGCAGGCATGCACCACCATGCCCAGCTAGTTTTTTCTATATATGTTTTCAGTTGGCCAATTAATTTGTTTCTATTTTTAGTAGAGACAGGGTCTTGCTCTTGCTCTGGCTGGTCTCGAACGCCTGACCTCGAGCGATCCTCCCTCCTCGGCCTCCCAGAATGCTAGGATTACTAGGATTACAGGCACTGGAGCCACCGTGCCTGGCTCCAGTTATTGATTATATTGTTTCCTTGTCTCCTTTAAGTCAAAGGGAGAACACGATCATCCAAAACCAGAAACCAAGCTGGAAGCTGAGGCCAGAAGAGCCATGAAGAAAGCTCACTCGGCGCCTTCCTCCATCTCCCTGCACCTGAAGGGGAGCCCAGGGGCAAAGGTGACTTTTCCTCTTGGATGTTCAAAACACAAACAAGCATCTACCAGAGAAATTGCATCTGAGGTTTCACTCTTCATTTCTACCGTCCTTATAGCATGCTCTCAACCACGAATTCCATGCAATTGCAGAATCATCTTCCCTGTTATGATTAGAAAGAGAAACTTGAATTAGTCCTTAAGCTATATTTGGCACTCTGTATTTTGGTTCCAACAGAACCAAAATTAACTGAAATGATTTCCACAAAAATTAGCCCCATGCTTTTTTTTTCCCTTAAAATTTTCCATACATCCCTGCAACAGATTATTTTCTTAGCACACTCTACCAAGATGAAATAAGCAAGCAGTTTATTTGGCAGTGGTGGGATGAAGGCTACTCCCTGCAGACAAACTGGGATGTGAAGTCCATTGCTTTATGGGGTAGCGTATCACAGGTTTGTAGGTAGATTTATATGTTTAATAGTGGAAGTAATTTCTATACCTTTTCTAGTGTGCAAAGCTCCATATTTCTTTTCAGGAGAATAGAGATAGAACCGGTCCATCTTGGTGGCTTTAAATGTACCTTACAAAGAAAAATCTGTAGGCTGGGTGCGGTGGCTCACACCTTGTGATCCCAGCTATTTGGGAGGCTGAGGCGGGAGGGTCGCTTGAGCCAGGAGTTCAAGCCTGCAGTGGGCTATGATGACACCACTGCACTCTAGCCTGGCCGACAGAGCGAGACCCCATCTCAAGAAAAAAAAAATTGTAATTTGAGTCTGTTGTAGGGGAATGTGAGCCCCTAAACCCAAATGGCTGTTCCCCCCATCTTTTCTCCCAGCCATGAGACAAGTCAAGGGGCATTTCTTTCCATCTGCTCTATCTGGTTATAGCCCTTTCTCTCCACCCTTTAAAACTATCCTCTTCTTAGCTGATAGTTTTACCAAAGTAAGAACATAACTTAATTCTCAACCAGATTCTTTTTTTTTTTTGAGACAGAGTCTCACTTTGTTGTCCAGGCTAGAGTGAGTGCTGTGGCGTCAGCCTAGCTCACAGCAACCTCAAACTCCTGGGCTCAAAGCAATCCTCCTGCCTCAGTCTCTTGAGTAGCTGGGACTACAGGCATGCGCCACCAGGCCCGGCTAATTTTTTCTATACATTTTTAGTTGTCCACCAAATTTCTTTCTATTTTTTAGTAGAGACAGGGTGTCGCTCTTGCTCAGGCTGGTCTCGAACTCCTGAGCTCAAGCGATCCACCCGCCTCGCCCTCCCAGAGTGCTAGGATTACAGGCGTGAGCCACCGCGCCTGGCCAGCTCTTTATAAGTTTCTTGAAAAGGCAGTCACAGACGTCAGATTTGTGTTTGAGTGTGAAACATCTTAAACATGCTCGTGTCTCCACAGAGTGAGGGAGAGTTTGGCTCTAACTGGTCAGTAAAATGGACGTGGTGGCAGCTTTTGCTGCTTGTTATCTTGTGGTGAGGCTGCTCTGTGTGTTTGCGCTTCAAGCACGCAAGGAATGAGGAAGAGCTGGGGGAACACTCACTCACTTGTACAGAATAACTCATGGGCGCCTATGGCTGTGTTGTTGCCTTGCTTAACTTATTAACATGAGTATTTCGTTTTCCTTTCTAGTCTCTTCCAGGTGAGACACAAAGCCAAGGGAGTTTACCTTTAACTTGGCCTTTCCAGGAAGGCCTCCAACTACCTAGCAGTTACAGTGGACACTTAATGGCTAACGCTCCCCAGCCTAAGTCCCTAAATGACGGCTTATCCCTCTCCAAGAGTTACGGTTTGGGAGGAACCACCTATCTGGCCGACCAGACTTCTACCTTGGACCCCGCTAAGCTCTACGAGAAATCCAAATTGCCCAGTGGCAAGACCTACGGCAGTGGAGACCCGTTCCAGCCTTCTGCCTCCGGAGTCTACGCAGAATACAACGATCTGCAAACCTGGAATAAAAATGCTGCTTTGGGGAAAAATTCTCTCAGTGAAAACTGCTATCCCAATTACCCTTTTCCTCTGACCAGCTGGGCTTGCAACTTCTCTCCTTCCCAGAACGCTTCAGAACCCTTTTTCCAGCAGATTCCATTGGAACCGCCTACAACCAAAACCGGCTGTCACCCACTGTGGCCAGGTCCAGGGGGTAGTCTTTACGAAGAGAAGGCACACGTGGATTTTAACAGCTACATGCAGTCCTCCATGTACCCCTCGCCTCAGGAAGACCCCTTCCTCCTCACCTACGGCTCTCATCCTCACCAGCAATATTCCCTGCCAGGCAAGATCAGCAAATGGGATTTTGATGAAGATGTGACACCCGTGGGTGTGGATCACTGCAACAACGAAATGTTTCTAAACCTCTGTCCCTTAAGATGACCCAAATCTTTCACAACTCCCCCCTCTGGGGGGAAAAAAAAAAAAAAGCTGTTTGGTGAAACGACTGGAAGGAATTTCCTTAGGAAACAATTTTCTTTCTTTTTCTTTTTGTTTTTTTTTGTTTTTTTACCATTTTGTGTACATATCTGTTTCAAAATCAGTGAATTTCTAGGCCAGGTTCAGGTAATTGAAGGACCTTTGTAAGTGGCTTCTATTGTCTACAGATCCAAGGTATGCTGCAAACACAGTCTGGAGCAAGATGGGAAATAACATCTTTCTAAAGACAGGCTTAGAAATTTCTAATCCAATAAGGTGTTTCTTTTCTCTTGTGGCAGAGTTGATTCATACCTGGCTGCGAGGCCACCATTCACAGGTATAGCCAAGAAAGCAGGGTACAGACCACCAAAAACAAGACCCACCAGTCTACCCCGTGTTATGGGGCAGGTTTCACACTTCAGACCACCTGTATTCACAGGTAAACTTAACAACACTTTTGTAAGCTACATGTGCTGTCAAACATGGGGTCACTGCCATTGGCAAGCCAGCAGCAATGCGAGCCCGTGTCACATTCAAGACGTGTTGAAAAGACTGTTTGCTATTAGGCCACAGAGAGCAGCATAAAGTCCGATATAGGTCGATCCATGTTTCAAGTAAATTCCTTTCTGATTCTGGAGGCGGGTTCATTTTTCTGGTTGTGATATTGAAAGTGCTTGAGTTTTCCTTGATAGAGTCATCTGGTTTATGATTTTCCATCTTGAGCCTCATGCTGTCCTTCTCCCAGGAGCCGTTGCCTTCCCCAGTCTTCCTCAGCCACGCCGGGGGTCATTGCCACCTTGGCTCAACTCGCCTGGGCGCGGCAGTCTTTGCAGGAACTATTTTCAAAACTCGAAACATAGCCACAGATACATGGGAATCATGACAAGCAGTAGGCAAGGCTCCTTTCTGCACACAAGTGAGCTTTCAGCTTCTCTTCCCCTCCGGTCCTTCCATCCTTAGCAAGGAAGGGAAACTTGTCCTATCCGTGCTGTGAAACTCGCTCTCTGCTTTTCCCACACGCTGCTGTTTGGGGCTCTCGGCACCTCAGCTGCACGATCTCTTGGGTTTTCAGTCGTTGAGGCATTTTGCACAGAGCAGAGATGTGAGCAGGCCACCTCCCTAGGAGCTCACCTGTGCCTTCCCGAGAACTGAGAAGGAACAGAGATAGAGGCTAAAAGAACCGCAGAGGTGTGGAAAGCTGAAGATTCTACCACCAAAGTCCTGAATCCTTTTGTCTAGTCATGTGATTAGTTGATAAAATATGGGGGGGGGGTTGTTTTTGTGTTTTCTGGTTTTTGTTTGTTTGTTTTATTTTGTTTTGTTGAGACAGGGTCTCACTCTGTTGAGACAGGATCTCAGTCTGTTGAGACAGGGTCTCACTCTGTCACCCAGGCTAGCGGGCAGTGACATCATGATAGCTCACTGCAGCCTTGATTGAACTCCTGGGCTCAAGCGATCCTCCTGCTTTGGCCTCCTGAGGCACATGCCACCACACTCGGCTAATTTTTCTTATTTTTTGTAGAGACTGGGGTCTCACTGTGTTGCCTAGGCTGGTCTCAAACTCCTGGCCTCAAGCCATCCTCCCAGATGAACCACCTCACCCAGCCAAAATAAGTTTTCTAGATGATTTCTAAGACTTGTCATGATGAGGAACATGACTTAACCTTATCTCATAAAGACAAAGAAAGCAAAATTAAAAGACATTTTTTTGATAAAGGCCATTCTCACTGGGGATAAGTAATATCTCATTGTGGTTTTCCTATTTCTTTTTTTAATTTTTAGACATTTAATTTTCTTTCATTTTTTTGTTTTTTTTAAATATATAGTCTTTTTTCTTTCTTTTTTTTTTTTTTCTTTGTAGCATGAGCTGCTGTTTGATCATTGTGATTTTGATTTGGATTTTTCTGATGATTAGAGATGTTAAGTGTTTTTTCATATGTTTGTTGGCCATTACTCTGTCTTCTTTTGGAAAGTTTCTGTTCATGTCCTTTGCCCACTTTTTGGTAGGGTTGTTTGATTTTTTTCTTGCTGATTTTCCTGAGTTCTAAATAGATTCTAGTTATCAGCCCTTTATCAGATCTGTAGCATGCGAATATTTTCTCCCATTCTGTAGGTTGTCTGTTTGCTCTTGTGATAGTTTCTTTGGCTGCACAGAAACTTTTTAATTTGATCAGGTCCCACTTATTTATTTTTGTTGTTGCTGTTATTGTCTTTGGGGTCGTCTTCATAAATTCTTTGCCTAGGCCAATGTCTAAGAGAGTATTTCCAATGTTTTCTTCTAGAATTCTTATAGTTTCATGCCTTAGGTTTAAGTCTATTATCCACCAGGATTTGCACTAGAATGTTTATAGCAGCACAATTCACAATTGCAGAGATGTGGAAACAACCCAAGTGCCCATCAACACGAGTGGATTAATAAAATGTGGTATATGTATACCATGGAGTACTATTCAGCTACAAGTACTGAATACTTGTAGTACGGTGATATAGCACCTCTTGTATTATTCTGAATGGAGTTTGGAACCCATTCTACTAAGTGAAGTATCCCAAGAATGGAAAAACAAGCACCACATGTACTCACCATCAAATTGGTTTTTTTGTTGTTTTTTTTTTCTTGAGACAGAGTCTCAGTTTGTTGCCCAGGCTGGAGTGAGTGCCATGGCATCAGCCTAGCTCACAGCAACCTCAAACTCCTGGGCTCATGCAATCCTGCTGCCTCAGCCTCCCGAGTAGCTGGGACTACAGGCACGTGCCACCATGCCCGGCTAATTTTTTCTATGTATATTATTTGGCCAATTAATTTCTTTCTATTTTTATAGTAGAGACGGGGTCTCACTCTTGCTGAGGCTGGTTTTGAACTCCTGACCTCGAGCAATCCGCCTGCCTCGGCCTCCCAGAGTGCTAGGATTACAGGCGTGAGCCACCGCACATGGCCCATCAAATTGGTGTTAACTGATCAACGCTTAAGTGCACATATAGTAATAAGATTCATTGGTGTCAGGCAGGCGGGAGGGGGGAGGAGGGGATGGGTATATTCATACGTAATGAGTGCGGTGTGCACCGTCTGGGGGATGGACACACTTGAAGTTCTGACGGGGGAGAGGGGGAAGGGCAATATATGTAACCTAAACATTTGTATCCCCATAATATGTTGAAATAAAAATGAAAAGACACAAAGAGAAATTCCATTGACAGCAAACTGTCTCTTTGTCCTTTCCTTCTCCCCCCGCCCCACCTCACTGACATCCCCTTCAACAAGGACTTAGATTTTGTCCCTAACTCAGTGCCAGGTTCATGATCTGTAGAAATGTTTTCTTAGAAAAATCTGTGTGCAATCAACATGGCCGTGGGGGCCAGCCACATTTGAATGCCTGTTTCTCTTCTTTGCCAAAGCGCTTTATAGTAGCGGTGAGCCTAGAAATAAAATCTGGAGAGAACCATGCAATAAACAAATATTTTCAGAAGTAAACTATCTCTTTTTAAAACTTGAATAGTAACAAACACACGTGATGCAGAATTCAAAAGTAAAAAAGAGGCCCGGTTCCTAATCTCCCTGCAGCACTGTCTAGTTTCTTGTGTATTCTTCCAGACATTCTTTGCATATATATTATTACATATATATGAAATATATAAAATATATATACACATATATTTGATATGTATACACACATAAGCAGTATCCTACCAGATTTGTTTCTTTTTCTTTTATTTTTTTCTTTTTCTTTTTTCTTTTTAGTAAAGATGGAGGTCTGGATGTTGCTCAGGCTGGTCTCAAATTCCTGACCCCAAGTGATCCTCCAGCCCCTGCCTTCCAGAGTGTTAGGAGTACAGGCATGGGCCACTGAGCCTGGCCTCAGATTCATTTCTAACATGGCTTTTATCGTTTTATTTTTATTTTTTTAATTCAAAAATAGCTTTTGTGATTTTAGGGCAAAATTTGAATATTAGGGCCTTATAAACGTATAGGATCACAGATGCCTCATTTTAAATGGTGCTTTATACATTACATCACTGTTACAATTAAAAGGCCCCTACCAATAAGTGTGTAGGTTGTCTTGAATCTACTAAATTTGTTTGTCTAAGTGCAAAAAACTTATATATTCAGTTTAGCAGAGTTATCAAGCAATGGCTTGTGTGTGCACCATTGGGGCCAAGAAATAGAACTCACTGGCACTGCAGAAGGCCCTGATTGTGGTTCTCTGTCCTGTTCACTCCTGATCACATACCCTTTTCTGTTACCATCGAGTGTATTTCTAAACTATAGTTTGGTTTTGCCTTTTTCGGGGAACCCAGTGAATAGATTCATACGGTATCCTCTAAAGAAGTATAATATACACACAGAAGAGTGCCCAAGTCATAGGAGGCAGCTCAATAAATTGTCATAAGAACACACCAATCTAGCCACCACCTATTTAGTGCACATTCTCTTAGAATCTAGCCTTTTCTACTCAACATTGTGTCCATAAGAACCATCATATTGTTGTGTGTAGCTCTAATTTGTTATTTTCACTGCCGCATTAAATTTCCTTATTCTCATCCAAAATGGACTGAAAGGGCTAGAGAAACAGACTGTCTGGAGGGAACCTTAGTTTCTACTAGTCCAAGGCTTTCTGGGTATTACAAATATTTTACCTGCACGAGACTAGACTGTTATTCCAAAAATTTTCTTGCTTTAAAAAACTATAATCTTGTATTTGTCAAAGCAAGAACATGTATGTAGCTTAAAGGTCAGGCTGCAGTGGGAGGACTGGTGGAGCCCAGGAGTTTGAACCTGCAATGAGATGATTGCACCACTGCACTCCAGTCTGGGTGACAGAATGGGAACCCATCTCAGATAAGTTATTTTGGTTTGGTTTTTTTTTTTTTTTTTGAGACAGTCTCACTTTGTTGCCCAGGCTAGAGTGAGTGCCATGGCGTCAGCCTAGCTCATAGCAACCTCCAACTCCTGGGCTCAAGCAATCCTCCTGCCTCAGCCTCCCAAGTAGCTGGGACTACAGGCATGTGCCACCATGCCCGGCTAATTTTTTCTATATATGTATTAGTTGGCCAATTAATTTGTTTCTATTTATAGTAGAGACGGGGTCTTGCTCTTGCTTAGGCTGTTTTCGAACTCCTGACCTCGAGCAATCCGCCCGCCTCGGCCTCCCAGAGTGCTAGGATTACAGGCGTGAGCCACCGCGCCCGGCCTTGGTTTTGTTTTTGTTTTGAGACAGGGTCTCTCCTGGTTGCCTGGGCTAGAGTGCAGAACTACAACCTCAAACTCTTGAACTCAAGCAATCCTCCTGCCTCAGCCTCCCGAGTAGCTGGGACTACAGGCACACACAACTGTACCCAGCTAATTTTTGTATTTTTTTGTAGAAACAGTGTCTCATTATGTTGCTCAGGCTGGTCTCTAACTCCCAGCTTCAAGTGATCCTCCTGCCTCAGCCTCCTAAAGTGCTAGGATCCCAGGCGTGACCCACTGTGGTGGCCAACTTCACTAAGTTTCCACCACTGTGCACGTGGTCATTGTATACAATGAAATCTCACCAAAATCAAGATGTAGGCCGGGTGTGGTAGCTCATGCCTGTAATCCCAGCACTTCAGGAGGCTAAGGCAGGAGGATCACTTGAGGCTAAGAGTTTGAGACCAGCCTGGGCAACATAAACCCTGTCTCTATCTAAAAATAAATAAATAAATAAAATCTTGAAAAAACTATATATATATAGAGAGAGAATATGGCTGTTCTGGAAAGTTCTGCCCTGCCCTTTGCAGTCAATCCCCTCTTGCCCCTGGAACTCCTAGAGGCTTTTATATCTGCTTAAATGTGGGCAGGCTGCTGTCTAATCCTGCTGCTCCTCCATCTTTGGACCTTCTTTCCTCCGTTGGGGTCTGTGTCTTTCTCATTCTCGGTATATTCTGTTGTTTTGATAGAGCACACAGCCCACTAGTTACCTAAGAAAAGAGGCATGAGAAATACATTTTAGGAGCCCTTGTGTATTTGAAAGTATCTTAATACTATACTTGTTTTTGTTGTTTTTTTCTTGGCTGAGAGTTTAGCTGAGACTAGAAGTCTAGGTTGAAAGTAATTTTCCTTCAAACATGTGAAGTCATTGCTCTATTGTTCTCTAGCCTCCAGGGTTGCTGTTGAGGAGCCTGGATGTCATGTTGATTTCTAATCCTTTGAATGTGGCCTACTGCTGCGTTCTAAGAGCTTCTAGATATA